TGGCTGCTGTGGCCGCGCTGGCCGCCCGCGCGCCCGGCTCGCCCGTCAAGGATTCTTAAAGGGACTAATTTTTTGTCCTAAAATGCACTGGATTGCCTGCAGAGAACATACTTGACTCACCAGTGATGTGCTTCATTTTGAAGTGTTACTATTCTATAGGACTATTTTTTTAAACTATCAATGATTATTTTGAATTGTATTTCAATATTTTTTACCCTATTATAGTGTGCAAGACTTGCTTCTCTAATATTTTGGTTAATATCAATAAAAGTGGCAAAATGACACACACGAAAAATTGCCTCTTCCTCCCAAGCTTCCAAAGCTGGAAGTTATAGAATCCATCTATGGTAAGAAGCAACTGGATGTTGTTTCTCCAACTCCCATCTGAGTTGCACCACCCGCTGAGGTTGCACCACCCGCTTGAGGATTACTCACTCATTACTAGCAGACCAGCCTCCTAAAGACAAAAAGGTAGTAAGACTGATTGAGTTCACTCTTTCTAGGCTTCAGCTTGAAGGAGCAGCATCTGACAGGAATCCAGAGTTTAGCATCGCAGATGGAAGGGATTGCTTAAAACTGCAGTCCTGGCCAGGTGTGATGGCTCACACCTGTAACCCCAGTACTTTAAGAAGCCGAGGCGGGAGGATTGCTTGAGTCCAGGAGTCTTACCAGCCTGAGAAACATAGCAAGACCTCATCGCTACAAAAAATTGAAAAATTAGCCAAGCATGGTGACACGCACCTCTATCCTAGCTACGCAGGAGGCTAAGACAGAAGAATCACCTGAGCCCAGGAAATCATGGCTGCAGTGAGCTGTGATCATGCCACTGCACTCCATCCTGGTGACAGAGTGAGACTCTAACTCAAAAAAATAAAAAGAACTGCAGTCCTTCAAATTCATAGTTGTATGGCCTTGGGCAAGTCTCTTAAGTGAACCTCAGTTTCCTCATCTAGAAAATAGTATTAGTATAATGCCTATCTCACACAGTTGTACTAAGTCTTCAATGAGCTCATAAGTGTTTAACAATACCTAGCATAAACTAAGTATTCAATAAATATGATTTTTATATCAGAGAGATATATATATAGGTGGTAACAAGGAGTAAGGGAGAATGGTCATGCATATTACAGAAGTTGAAATATATCAACTCTACAACTGAAACTTGCACTGGCCAGGCAGCCTGAAGGAGCCTCAGAAGTGAACAGGGATACCAGGAGCAAATTACACAGAGCCCTCCAGGGAGATAGTAATTCTTAAAGAATCATTTTCACTGTTCTTCTGATCTTCAACTCATTCCATAATATCTTGGATCATTTGTCTCTTGGGGTAGATAAATGCCTTTTCTCACATCTACTAGAAAGTTAACTCTTTCATGCTTAGAAAATGTCTTGAGACCCACAAATCCAAAGAAATTGTGGCTATGTTAATAGAGTGCCAAGTAAACAGAAAAGCCCTTAAGGAGAGTTCCAGGATTAAACGTTAGAGAAATTGACCAGAAGCAAGTTATTTCCATCAACATGCTGGTCTGGACAGCCTCTGACTGTACGATAATGCTTCTTGCATGACTTCAGTCCATCAGACTCTTAAATTGATAGTGTGAAATTGAACTCACTAACTTTAATTATTTTCTTAATTACTCAGGTGCATCTTCCCAACGCCTGGAAAAATTTATAGAAAGGTAAGTGGAAGATAAGTTGTTTCTAAATTTGTTTTCTTATTTTGAAATAGGAATGAAAACTCTGTTGTTACCTCATAATCGTTTTTACTGAGCATAAATAGCTTATTAGTCACTATCCAAACACTGGAATATCACTCCTTAGGCCAGTGAGCATAGGAAGTGATTAATTTGCATATGTTCTCAAAATATGATTATAAAAATGCATACAAAATGGGTAAAACTTAGGTCTGACAGAAGTAACTGAAAAGGCAAAAGGATGATATCATATTCATACTTTGTGAATGAGAAAACTTTTATGCTCATTTGGGGCTTAAAATTCTGAATTGAGGCTCTGGGTGCCCTGAACAGAAGCTTCAGGAAGTCCTTGCTTTTCCAAAGTCGACCACAAATCCACAGCTGTCAGAATGTCCTATGAACCTGGACATTAGTAACCCAACAATTTGCCTGTGCTTATTGACAACAATTCCTGTGAAATATGCCAAGAGGATGGTAGTGTGTCTATTTCCTAGGAGCTCATCCCACTCTTTCCCATTCTATGCAGTTATGTGGCCTTTCCTTAATAGGAAAGTGGGATAATGAGTGTAGAGAAGAAATGGGGAAATGGGACTGATGGTTGGCTATACTGGAATGAAAGAAAAATAGCAAAACATGTACCAAGAAAGTGGTCGTACAAAGATTTTTTTCACAGGCCTAGCCTGTATCACTGGTTGCATAGTTGATGCTCAAGTGCCTGACATTCATATTCTGTCTATGACTTTTTAGCTTATCTAGGAACCAGCTGTTGGACCAGCCAGCCATTGTTATATATGCCATGATTGGAAATGATGTCTGCAATGGGTGAGTTATTGAGAAAGATTTTCAAAATTCTTTGTGAGTTTTCGCATCTTCCCCACCCCCGTCTACATTAACTCTACTCCATCATAGTAGGCTACTGCTGAATTGATTTTCTGTATCTTAGAAGCAAGTCCTAGACACATGTGAAATTAACAGAACCAACCTGTGAAGCTAAAGTCCCCTTTTAAAAATACCTGATCCGTCCAGGCACAGTGACTCACTCCTGCAATCCCAGCACTTTGGGAGGCCAAGGCAGGAGGATCGCTTGAGCCCAGGAATTCAAGATCAGGCTGGGCAACATAGCGTGACTTTGTCTCTACAAAAAAAAATTTTTAAATTAGCCAGGTTTGATGGTACACACCTGTAGTCCCAGCTTCTTGGGACACTAAGGTTGAAGGATTACCTGAGCTCAGGAGATGGAGGCCATAGTGAGCCATAATCATGTCACTGCACTGCAGCCTGGGTGATAGAGTTAGACCCCAACTCAAAAAATAATAATATAAATTAAAATAAAATAAAAATACCTGATCTATTAATCCTCAACTCTGATGTTGCAATAAATGGGTATGCATGGATCTGTTATGAGTTATATCACAAGAAATATGCTATTACTGACCAAGAATCCAAGATTGGGATGATGGCTTTTTAAATAAAAGAAGCCAAAAGCACAGTTACCCCATAAAAAAATCTATCTCACTTATACTCTGATCTACCATCCTTTTTCTTGTGAAAGAGACAGCATAGAAGCATAGACCTACAACATTTGCCAAGAACTGCACATAACTCAGCCTATTCTATTCATGCCCACGGCTCATAGCAAGAAAGTGGTTTTGCTAAACTGCTAATATCAGTAGTGATTTCAAAATGTTAGTTCTCTCACAACATTCCAACAGGTTTCTCAGAATCTGTGTATACACCTAAGAATATCATGCATGTGTGAATGCCAACTAGCTATCTGTGATTGTGGCCAGAAAACGGGGGGGGGGGGGAGACAAGATTTTGAGGAACTCCCCAGTAGCAGTAGCCACCCACCTGCTATTTTAGGAAACGGAAAAGTAAGACCAAGAGAGGTTCATGACTTGCCCTAGGCAACAGGATTGATGAATGGCATAGTTGGATTCCAGCCCAAGTGGTGCCAGAAGCAGGTCACCCTGCTCACTGCCCACCCTTTGTTTTTCCATACTTCACTCGCCAGGCTTTCCCAGACTGGACTAAAAGCACAGTTCAAGAGTGTCAAAGTGTGTTTGCCCTCACAGATAAAACTCAGATGGCAAAAGAGATGTAGACATCATCAGTGAAGTGACTTCAGGGCAAAGATACCATCCTATGATCCAGAGATATGATGATCCAGACACCACCCTGGCACACCTTAGGCTGGTTTGCTCCTCTCCTCAGAGACCCAAGTCAGCTGGGGACTCAGGTTTCTGCTTCTGTGACGAACCACCTGGGACTCTCTAGTAAATAACAAACACTCCTTAAGGTCTACCATGAGACAAGAGTGATATATACCCTTTCCATCATTTCATCCCCTCCAGCAGCCCTAAGAGCCAAGTAAGACTGTCCGCATTTAAGAAGAAACTGAGATTTGGCAAGATGAAGGAACTTTTTATGCTACTATTGAGCAGTAAAGCTAAGAGCCACACCAGGTTCTCTGACCAGATTCCATGCTCCTTCTACAGACTACACTGGTCGTATTTGCTTTATTTCACTCATTCACCTTTTGGTTTTTTTGTTTGCTTTAATTTTTATTTTGATCATGATCTCATTGTATTACAAGGCTGGAGTGCAGTGGCACAATCATGACAAGCCTCGCTCACAGCAACCTCAACCTCCTGGGCTCAGGTGATCCTTCCACCTCAGCATTCCGAATAACTGGATCTATAGGCCACCATACCCTGCTGACTTTTTTATTTTTATTTTTTATAGAGATGAGGTTTCACTATGTTGCCCAGGCTGGTCTCAAAATCCTGGGTTCAAGCAATCCACCTTCTTCAGCCTCCCAAAGTGCTGGGATTACAGGTGTGAGCCACTGTGGCTGGCCTCCTTGACTTTTAAAAGCATATGCTGAGCACCCATGATAAGCCAAGCACTATGCCAGGCTCTGGGATACAGTGACAAAAAGACCACAGCCCCTGACCTCAGAGAGCTTATGAAAGGAGAAGCCTTGAACCTGAACCCCCAGCCCTCATCATGAAACAGAACAAACCTGTGGTCAGACCAGCCAGCACTCTGCTAAGCCCCCAGAGCATAGCCTCCTGGAAAGGCCAGATCACAAACTGGTTATACTGAGTTAACATGTGCAGCAAGAGGCTGTGACTACTCCAAAAACCAATATCCCTGAAACTATACTTTTCCAGCATAACCCGCTTACCTAGCGGCCCCTCCAGCCTAGTCCTACTTTTTCTTTGCCAAAATGTCAAAGGGCAGGCAGACATCAGCCAGAGATGTGTGCCAGCCTCTCCCCTGCTGGGGATCTGGGCAGAGAAGCAGCAAGCATTTGGGTGAAATAACAGAGTTGGCAGTGTGGGATGTCCCTGCAGTGCCCACTTTGTGATGTCCTGTGGAGGGGTTAAAAAAATAAAGACAGATGGCAGCTACACCTCCCCATCTGCCAGAATGTCAAGGTGGAGTTGACTTCCCAAAATGAGCAAAGGGATTTTATAAAAAGCTCAAGCAGCAAGGAGTTACATAATAAGTCTGTCCTGGAACAAGTTTTAGGATATGTGCTTGACTTTCTTCTTTTCTTTTTTTATGATGAGGCTCACTCCTACTGAAATAATACATTCATGTACTTCCTTCTCAATTCTCTAAACTCGTGCAGTTATTCAATAAATACTTGTTAAGTGAATGAAGGCCATGTTGGAAGACAACTATGAACCTCAGGAATTCAAGAAGAGAGGTCACATAGAGAACCTAGCTTTCTCATTGTAACTCTACTCAATTTAATTTAAACTAACTCCGCTTCCTTGGACTGTTCCCATCACTGCCCTCAAAAGCCATATAACGTGAGTGATACAGAAGGTGGAACGTTCCTGAAAACAGGGAAATTTGTGGGGGAGCTACAACAGCAGGAACCTTGGAGTAACAGGAGCAGCAGTGGGAAAGGAGAATGGCCTCAGAACATCACACCATAAAGGCCAGTGACAACTCTTCCCTAACATCCCAGCAGGATGTCCCTGAAAAGAACATGGTAATTGCTGGCAAGGTCATCGAATTACACAAGCATCCGACACCGACCGCATAAGTGGACATGGCTCCATTTATACAGCAGACATAGAAATCATAAATTGTATGTTCTTCATCTAATGGAGAGACCCAAAACCACCCACACAGGTTGTCTGTGGCCCCTTGCCACCAACCAGTGCTGGTGCTTCAGGTTACACCCACAGCAGCTGACCAGCTGCATTAAGAGGAAGCCAGCCAGGGTCCTAGTAGGCCACAGGCCCCAAGGAGCCTGGGCTAGCCAAAAACAATCCATTCCATACATTCAGATGGTAGAAAAACCAGCAAGGAAGGGAATGGACAGAACTCCTACTGCTCAGAGGAACTCTCTCTCCCAGCTTCCTCAGTCAGAGACATGAGTGGCACAGGGAATAATAAGGGATTTCCAACCAGCCAGCATGTTTCAGACCACATCCACTTTTAAGGAACTTTTAATGTATCTATGCACAGGAATCCTCATCCCATTCCCAGCCTGTGTCAAGATGCCCCTTTGTCCCAGCTACTCGGGAGGTAAAGACAGGAAGATCACTTGAGGCCAGGAATTCAAGACTAACCTGGACCACATAGTGAGACCTCATCTCTACAAAAAAAAATTTTAATTAGCTGGGTGTGGTGGCATGTACTTGGGAAGTTGAGGCAGGAGGATTACTTCTCCTGCCTCAACTTCCAGGAGTTTGAGGCTGCAGTAAGCTATGATTGCATCACTGTACTCCAGCCTGGGCAACACAGCAAGACCCTGTCTCCATTTTTTAAAAGAGAAAAAAAAATAAGATGCCTCTTTGAGGGTTGTTGGGTAGGCACCCTTCAATGTAATTGGAACTGGCTAGCAGGAAGAAAAAGGCCAAGACTTTTATCTATATAAAAGTGTTGGTCAATAGATAAAAGCCCAATATTTTATCTATGTTTTGAAAACACAAATGCTAGTTGTGAGTGAGATCAGAGCACTCAGTCTGAGCACTGACTGGTCTCTGAGCTTTAGCTCTGGTTCTAGGAAGCTGGTTTTCTGCAGAGGCTGTTCACTATCTTCCTTGAGAAGGGGCACCTCTCTCTGACATCAGTCAGATGAAATCTGGCTAGCACAAGTGCTAGGGTAATGAAATGACCATAGCCAGCCCTACACCCAAGTAAAGAGGCTTATTTTGCATGATCAGACACTATTCACTAGGACAGGACTGGCTTCTGAGCCACATGAAGGGGTGAGACTCTTCATCTGTTCTGAGCCCAGCAGTGTGTTCCTGACATGGGTGACAGCATGATGGTAGGCACTGAATTCTCTCTCATGACTTTCCTCGGTGTGACCACTGTGTTTCCAGGCTGGGTTTCATGTTTCTCGTCTTTACCTGGCTGCTCCCAATCCCTCACCTATTTTCTGAGTGACTGGGATAAACTTGCTAGTATGTGAGGAGGGGTGCCAGGGCATTGGAGTATGCAGGCAAATCTGGGGTGCCCCAGTCATCTGAGTTGAAAAGGTTTAGATACCTTCAGTTCAGCCCATTTCACCTTTGGCAGATATCAGAGGGATCTAGGAGATATTTCCCAAACCACTAGGTTCTTTGGTCCCCAAATACTAGTGCTAAGTCCTCCCCAAAAATCACCAGAGGAGAAAGATACACAGATAAAAACAACATTGAGAATTTTTCAGGGACAGAAGTCAGAAGGCACCTTCTATAGTATCCAGAAAGATTGACCCATCATGAGTCATGTAGACTCTTTTGCCTTTGCCTGAACTAAGAACTGGTTGATTTTGCTTTGCATGTTAAAGGATAAGTGACCACAGAAGT